AGTAGTTGATTAGGACGCAGTTGTTGTTGGGGGAGGGGTGTTGAATGATAACTAAAGGGCACAGGAATTTCTTTTTCAGGTAATAATAATGTTCTAAAATTGTGGTGATAGCTTGCATAACGGAATATAGTAAAAAAAACATTGAATTGTACATTCTAAATGGTTGAATTTTATGACATGTAACTTACGTCAATAAAGCTGTTACCAAAAAATCTTTTAAAAAACAAGGCTATTGATAATAATTTTATGTAAATTAAAAAGTCTAATCCTCTGACCCACAGTCCTCACTACCTTAGGTTCATGCACACTCTCCCTGTATTTACAGCACTGCTGTTGGGACATGCCACATTCATTCTAGCACCTGTCCCATTGCTCAGATGCTGTTGTTGATCATCAGCAATCCCCTAAAAGTGTATCATCTTCTCTGTGTGCTTTAAGGCAATATTAAAGCTTTTTTTTTTTCTGATAAATATCAGACCGTTTCAAAGAGTCATGACCATTTGAAATGAACTAGCAAGATAGCCATTACCAACAATTCTGCCTAACCATAGAGATGAAAACTGGCTTCTTGACAACTTGATAGTTATATTATTATTAAAAACAGAAGAAAAATAAGAGGACATTTATCAAGTGCTTACTATGTATCAAGCACTAATGGTAAATAAACATTTACATGTGTAATTAGTTTTATGTGCAGGAGTATGAACATTTCCTGTGTGATTTAACAGTTTGATTCAAAATTTAATTAGCTTCTGTTTTGTGTAAAGCTGAAGCATGACAAAGATGAACCAACTAGAGATCACAAATTTTAAAATATCTATTAGTTCAAGGCCATCATCCTTTTCTGCAATTCAAAATCCAAAATGCTCTAATTTTTTTGTAACTCATTTGACAAGCAAAAATCTGACCTTACCTGATGATAGATTACTTACAGACTTATCTCTTCTAGTGTGAATATTAGCCATTTTGCTGTGTAAATATTGTTTGATAATGGGGCTCTGCCACATACCCACCATTGAATAATGCAATATATATGAAATTGCAAATTTTGAATTGATTCTCATTTGTATTTCATTTGTGAACACACATACACAAGTGAAACTGCAGTTAAAGTAGTTGCTTCTGTTTTAAAATACTATTGTAGGTGAATTGCTAAGAATGAATAATGTAACAATCTTACTCTCATTCTTCTTATTCATAATTTAAAGTCAAATAAGATTAATAACACACTTCAAAAATGTATGCCAAATCTTACTTCTCCTGGCTGTCATCCTGAAAAAAAAAATGCCAAGAAATGATGATAGCAAAACATGTTTATTCCTTCGTGGAATGTATAAATTAAAATCAAGTATGTGGAACTCACATTTAATAGGATTAATCAACACATTAACCATCAATTAGCAATCACTGAATGTTACATAGATAAGACAATGTATTAGGCACTACTTTTAAAAAAGACAAAAAATTTACCCAGAGAGATAACAAGGTACACTTATTTTTAATATATCTTTCAAATTTCTTCTCATAATTTTCTACCATGGTTATGTGCAATAAATGAACTAGACTGTGTAATGATTTATATAGATTGTCACAGCTCATCACTCGTGTGTCTACTTGCATCAGTTATTAACTTTATAGAAATAACAGGTCATGCAGCAGTTCACTCAGGTTCAGGAAAAATAGTGCTAGGTATTTCAAGACCAGGTGAAGATCAATTGTTCAGGAGTTTGGTGAAAACATTGGGAATGTATTCTACTATTTTAAAATACAAAGGATCTAACTCTAAAGGCTTTACAGTCTTATATTTCTTTCCCTAAAGATTATATATTTCCTTTGCATTTCCAAGCTAAATCTTTCCAGGCAGTTAGTGGGAAACAAATGAATATGCTTATAAAATGGTTGTTTAGTCTTCCTAGTCCTCCTCACTGTAACAGAATTAAATTACTGAAATTCAGTGCACTCTTTGAAGTTAATGGAAGTTTTGTTCTTAATTGAGTAAAGGGCAGTATAAAAACAGATTAAAATATTAAAATACTCTCAAAATGATTTTAGTAATCCATAGATTCATTTTTTAATGATGAAAAGTTTGCTAAAAAGACTTTTTTCTAATAAAGTTATCTTAACCATAATATAAAAGATGGTTTTTCAGTTGCCACACACAAAAAAAATCATGGAGTGCTTCAGACTTCTAGAATCCTAAACTCCATCTTCCAGGCTCAAGAAATCTTGTTTGCTACTATTATGCATATAAAGGCCACATTTAAAAGCATTCTGATTACTTAAACATTTTGGTTTAAAGCTTACTATTTAATGAATCATCACATCACTACATGCACTCAAGGTGTTAATGCAGCTCAAGATGAGTAATTTCTATTATGGAAAAGGTTACTATACAATTAGATAGTTTTTCATTTCTTTTTAAAAATTACTATTTAGTAATTAGTTACATCATTAGCTTTAAATTTTAAATGAGCTAAAAGTTAATTTTAAATGAAGTAATTTTAACATAAATCAAGAATAAGTGATTACTAAGGAACTTAGTCAAAATGTTTTGCCTAGAGCAAAAATTTTTACTATTTTTGGAATTATTATCCATCTTTTCCACAGTAATGTATAAAAAATAGGTCAGCTATTATATATATATAAATGGATAAAGATATCTGGCTAAGAGTATACAGGTGTTTGGCAATCTTGTTTAAGAACTCAAATCTTTGCAGTCATTATTTGCTGTACTATGGTTTTATCACAAACAGCTTCTCTAAAATATAAAAATGATTTAACCCAAATTTAGAAGTTTGTTGATTCCATCTGATTATATTTCCCCTTTCCTCACATTCCTCAACAACCAGCCATGTGCACATGCATACTCATGTGAGTACATGCATGCAGGCATGTGTACACACACACACACACACACTCACACACACTAACTCACCCCACCCCCCCAAGCATGGTAATCAAGATGTTAGGAGACCAGAGTGCTAGGCTTGCTTCTACTTATTCAAGAATTAAATTTTTGGGTTCTGCTTTCCCAATTGTTTCTCCTAGTTTCTTAATTCTGTTCTAAATCTTGGAACACATCAAATCCTTCAGCCTGAAAAATTAGTCTCATCCAACATAAATATTATAAAGGGTGTCCACTGAAAGTTAAGTCACATTTTATGTTATAGCTGTTTAACTTTACAAGTAGGCACAGGTGACTATACTTTAAATTGCTGTTAGATACCTAGTAGTTGAGCTTATGCCATTTTGGACTGATGGAAAATTTTAAGATTTAAAATTGTAATAGTAAAAATAGTCTACTTCACATTTTGGGCAACAAATATTTCTCATCTGGTCAATTATGGTATGAATTCACTCATGTGAAATTAATTTAATAATATAAAAAAAGTTGACAATGTAAATATTTAAAATTTTATAGTGACATAATTTATATTCTTCTATTCATAAACACTATTGAAAATACTTACAAGAACCTAGAAAATGTACAAGTATTTGAAAATACAATTAAATATCCACTTCAAAGATACACAAAAAACACATTCAAATGTGACTTTTGATTGAATTAATTCTCTGGAGACTTCCTTCCCTATCATTTCTGCTTTGGAGGAATAGTGGTTCAGGGTAAAAGGGCAGAGGATAAGCTTCAACCAAGAAATCCCCCAGGTCCATGAAAACATGTACCTTCTTTTGCCCCTTCTGAACACACATAAAAGGAAAGATGATAAAAAATTCTCATCCACTGTAAATATACTGGTATGCCCATGAGCAGTCAACATCAACCTCACATTTGTGAATGCTTTCTCTATTTACAAGCTTTTTATTTTCATGATTCACTTGATTCTTAAAATAATTCCATGAAACTCAATAAATGAGGTTATTAGTCTTTTTTTTTATGGTGTTGGGGATTAAACCCAGAGGCCCTTGATCACTGAGCTATATCCCTAGACCTTTTCATTTTTTATTTTGGGATAGGGTCTCACTAAATTGCTTATGGCCTTGCTAAATTGCTGAGGCTGGGTTTGAACTTGTGATCCTCCTGCCTCAGCCTCCCAAATTGCTGGGATTACAAGTGTGCACCAACATGCCCAGCACTAGCCTTGTTTTATAAATGAGAAAAATGATGCTTAAAGAGATCAAATGACTTCCTTATGGTCAAATATTGGTAAGCAAAGGCAAGTTTAGAACCAAGTTTTTCAATTTCTTGCTAAAATATTCTTTCTGTTATACCATTTTGGTTTTCAAACAAATGAAGAAACTATAGTTCAGTGGTAAAAATTTTATGCTTCTAGAAAGGCAGCTTCATTTGGTAACTCTTTGTAATAAGAACAGTTTACAGAACAAAATGGACATGTATGTCATATGAAATATTTGATAGTATGCTCAAAATGTCCTGAGAGAAAGTTTAATCAATAAATTCAAAATTAGAAAAGTTGAAAGTCATTTTACATTCTTAACTGATTCTCATCCATCTCGTCTATCTTTACTTGTACTGGGGAGATTGTAAAATGCAATTTGAATGCTAAATTTATCAAGCATCTAACCCATTTTCCTTGTCCAGAAAAGTCGTTTTTCTACACTTCTATTGTATTGCAATGGGAAAATTTGGAAATTTACTTGGACAAAAATGCTGTTACTAAAAACATTCTTGTGTCTATATGAAAAATTTTGAAAGTGGTTCAAAGTTAATTCCTTTTTTCATGGAAAATGTCAGTATATAAATAAATTTTGTATTTTCTTGTCTAAATCCAGACAAGTATACTACAACATCAAAATATCTGCGATTGAGTGGTCCTTCATTTTTGTTTTTATAAATATTTGCTTAAAATATTTTGTCTGAGGGCTGGGGATGTGGCTCAAGCGGTAGCAAGCTCTCCTGGCATGCATGCGGCCTGGGTTCGATCCTCAGCACCACATACAAACAAAGACGTTGTGTCTGCCGAAAACTAAAAAATAAATATTAAAAAAAATTCTCTCTCTCTCTCTCGCTCTCTAAAAAAAGTATATATATATTTTGTCTGAATCCTTATACATCTTATAAAATAAAATATTCAAGAGCAATAAATCAAGCAAAAAATGAGTATAAAACTTATTTTCCCACTTTCAGAAAAAAATAAGAGAGGATAAGTACTTCTGAGAATCGTAAAAAATCTGGGATCTTAAACAAGGAACAGCTACTTTTGTCCTAGTCAATATTTTTGAGGGCTGGGTTATAGCTCAGTGGTAGAGAGCTTGTCTACCTTGGGTGAGGCCCTGGGTTCAATCCTCAGCACCACATTAAAAAAAAAAAATTTAAAAAAGTTAAATTCTTAAAAAATACTTCTGAGACTGTTTACTTTGCAATTGAACAGCATACTTTTAAATGCACTTTAATATTCAATATTAATTAACTCAAGGTAATATAACTCCTAATAAAATCTTCAATCAGACAAAAAAATCCATTTTGGACTGTCAAGAAAAGTGCATAATACTGACATATCTGGACACTAAGGTCAGCTATATGCTAACAAGGTAAGAAGTAAGAATGGAGGAAATTATGTAGATACTCCAGTTTCAAAAAGTTGTCTGCCTCGCCTGATAATTTAGCAAAATACCCAATCTTGTAGTGTAACAAGCATAGTGCTCTGAATCAAATAGCTTACAAAATAGTATTAGTATAGGCCTAACTTTTTAAAATGCTATCATTGCATCCTTCTGCCATTTATGTTGATATTTATCCTGAAGTGACACCCAATCTGTTCTTGTTCTTTGGCATGTTTAAAGTCAGCAAAAGCACTCCTTCCTGGGCTTTACTGCTTCCTCGGAAGAATGCACAGTATTTGGAACAAAACCACTTTTAACTCCTTCCCAGCCATCCTGAATACAAATTTCTCCCTTTTTAATAAGTTCATATATGTCTCTTGTCAAGATTGTGAAGGATTCCTCTACATTTGTAGCATCTTTTGCTGAGGTTTCTATATACTTCATTCCACAGTCTGCTGACAGTTTTTCAGCTTCTTCCCTTGTCACTTGACGTTGTGAAGCTAAATCACACTTATGTCCCACCAGTAGAAATACAATCTGAAATGGCTGTACGTGCATTTTTGCTTCTTCTAGCCAATCTTTTACATGTTCAAAAGATCGTCGGTTAGTAATGTCAAATACTAAAAATCCACCAACTGAGTTGCGGTAATAGGATCGAGTTATTGATCTGAAAAATAAAGAGAAAAGGGGTTGTATAAGACAATGTATTATCTTCCTCTCCTTCAAACAATGTAATACCATAAATAAAATTTGAAGATATTTTAATGTGATTTAACTAGAATTTACAAATCAAATATAAAGTGTCTCAAATGAACAAAAGTATTCTATAAGACTATCATGCAAACCTGTTTCATACACTGACAGAACATTAATATTTTTAGATGGATATGGTATATCATCTCACATGATCTATGATTATGTTGTTAAATATCTGATAGCATAATTATTGCATCATTATAGGTAAAAACAGTCATATAAAAAGACTAGAGAGGGTCGGGGTTGTGGCTCAGTGCTTGCCTAGCTTGCATGAGACACTGGGTTCGATCCCAGGAAACACATAAAAATTAACAAATAAAATAAAGATATATATAAGACTAAAGAAGGACAGAGGTTGCACAGCAAGGTGAATCCTAAGAATCTCAGCCTGTCATGTAATTCAACAACTCCCCCCCACCAAAAGTTTAGAAAAAAGAAAAAAGAGCAGTATTATGGACTGAATGTTGTGTTCCCTTCCCCCAATTTTTATGTTGAAATCCCAATCCTGATTGTGTTGATGTTAGGAGGTAGGCCTTTGGGATATAATTTAGGTTATGAGGAAGGGCCCTTATGAATGGGATCAATGCTCTTATAAAAGAGACCTCAAAACTCTCTAGTCTTCTTTCTACCATGTGAGGCTACCACAAAAAGATGGCTGTCTACAAGCCAGAAAAGAGTCATCACCAGAACCACAACATGCTGGTATTCTGATCTTGGGCTTCCAGCCACCAATACTGAGAAATACAATTCTGTTGGTCAAGCCTCCCATTCTATGGACACTTGTGCTAAGACAGAAAACGTATTCCAATATTAGCTACAGGAATATGCCTCTGCTATACCTATTCAAGAAACAGGAAGTTATTTGGACCTGGGATATGAATCTGAGATGTGCTGGTGATTCTCAGTTTGCCCCCTCCAAGGATTCGTCTCTACTCTTTTCTCAGCTTTAGGAATCTGGGCTTTGGAGAAAACTCTCCAAATGGAGGTCAGCCAATGGGGGATACTAGATGGGGACTGGAGGAAAGGGAAATAAGGATATCTATTCCTTCCTTTGTCTCTGTTGGGCATGGCACAGCAGTGGTTGTATTCCTCTGCTTCTGGTCAAGGTTCCTTTTGGGTAGTCCCTTTCCCATGGCTACAGCTGTCACCAAGTTTTGATAGTACCATTCTAGCAAATATTTCTTCCAGCCAGGTAGTTAATGGCCTCACACTGTTGCTATTCCCTAGATGCTTCAACATCCTTTGTTACTGCCCTTGACTTTGACATCTCTGGAAATAGTCACTTTATTCAGCTCTTTTCAGTTAACCTACTATTGTGCCACCTGTTTCCTGGCTGAATTATGAGGTAATGTGGCAAGACAGCACTGTTTTTTTTTTTGTTGTTGTTTGTTTGTTTCTTGCCCTTACCTATGTTATTTTCTCTACCTATCATGCCTTGTAGCCCTTTTCTGTCTAGCAAATTCCTATTTCTCCTTCAATAGTCAGCTCAGGAATTATATCACCTGGAAGGCCTTCCCTGCCATTGACTCTTAGGCTCTGTCTTAGGCACTCCTTCTCTTATTTCCACTGAACTGTTGTGGCCTCACTGCCCTCATTGATTATATCAAATTTCACAATGTGCTGACTGGATTTGCTGGTATGTCTCCTACTCAATTCCAAGTTCCTTGAAGGTCAAAAAATAATTTTTTAAAATGTGTGTACCTAATAATCATGTTGCCTGGCAAATACAGATGTTATTAAATGTTTGTTATACTGGATTAGTGAATCATCTTGGAGAGGGAAAGAGCTAAGTGTTCTGAGTCAGGGATCCTGTGTGTGTGAGTGTGTATGTTTCCAAGTTGCCAATGCTTCTCATAAACCCACCTGACTACTTGCCTGAGGCACAAAGATTTTTGTGAAGTGCCAGAGGATTGTCTGGTGCTCTCCTATTCTCCATCTTTCATATATCTTCATTATCCTTATTGCTAAAGCTACAGCTCAGTTCAATGACCCAATACCACAAATACTTTTGTTGTCAGAATGTGAAGATAGTATTTTACCTCGCTTTTCTACTTCTCCTGCCTCTCAGTTTCTCCTCATAATTCCTAATAGGTTCTTGAATGACTATTTCTAAAACACTATTCTTGAGGATTACATTACTGCACAGTAATTGCCAATAAGAAAAATCTCCCACAATCTTTAGCAGGCTATAAATAATGCCGTTCATTTAAGTTGTTGCTATTTTTTTAATTTTCACAGGATAGTTAATTTGTTATTGTTTTGCCACTTCATCTTTATATGTTTGAATTTAGACAGATGTGCAGTGTCATAAGAGAAACTTAATTAAGGCTGTCTTGTTAGACTGAAAGCTTTAATTTATTCAGGCACCAAGTTTGCATTATTTTACCCTCTCCCAAATTTAATTTGCCATTACTATCATTTTTTACAATTTGCCTTTTGTGGTTGAAAAGTCAATATTAAAATGCTTATGTAGTACACTGAGGCATGTCTTACACATGTAGGAAATACCATGTTTTCTAGTCCCTGGTATTTAATTTTGGAAATCAAATTTGGAATACAGTTGGAAAATCATCCTATAGCAAAGTATTTGTAATACACTCTACAAAACTATCCTTATTAATAGTTGGAATAAAGGTCTCAATATGACATCTGACATTTTCTATGTAATAACCTGATCTCCAAGTTTTGTGTGTGAGTCTAGAGATTATGTTTAGAACTCTGACCTGTGAGAGCTGGAGATGTAGCTCAGGGGTCAAGTGCTTACCTAATCCAAATTCAATCTTCAATCCCCAGTACTGCAAAAAAAAAAAAAAAAAAAAAAAAAAAAAGAAAGAAAGAAAGAAAGAAAAAGAAAAGAAAGTAGAATTCTGGCCTCATTAGGCTTGGCTTCAGATTTATATATAGTTGTCCACGGGATACGGTTTTTCCTGAAACAATAGGGCATCCCTGCTGTCAGTTAGGGAAAGGGCAGGCCTTCATATAGAAAACTTGAACTTGAAAGGGAGGTCTTGCAGGTAATGAGGAAATGAGGAAATTTTTTCTCTGGACCTTCCTCCTTTAGGTCTTTAGAAGTTTTTGAAGGTATTATGAAGAGGTAGGGAACAGAACTCAAAAGAACTACATATGTGGTTCTCCCACTAAGGAACTTAAGAATTCATGATAAGTAACAATTCTTTAAAAGCAACAATACTTTTTTTTGTATATTACTTTATATTTATTTCCTTCTGGGCTTTGAAAGCCTCACTGAATGAATGGATGAAAAAAACAGAGGAAAGGCAAGAAGAACAGAAGGAAGAAAGGGAGAGAGTAATCCATAAATGGATTGTAAACTGGTCTCGTGTATAAAGGTGGAATTAAGAGCTGTGAGACCATCCTCTGGCAAGAATGATAAAGGGGTTATAATGATGTGATACGATAGGAAAGGTGAGTTATAGAGGGCAGGGAGCAGGGCTACAATCTCTTAGTAGCTCCTTGTCCTTCCCAAGAAGATTTATTTTTCTGGTTCTAGGAACTGAACCCAGGGCTTCACATGCTAAGCATATACTCTGCTATAGAGCCACACTACTATCCCCTGGTTTTGATTATAAAAGAAATCTGCTTGTTCTTTTATACTCGGAAAGCTGTACTATCAGCATATATTATTTCATTTCCCAAGGAACAGTTTCCTCAGAATGTTTTATCCAACTCCTGAAACTTGCTTTCTCTGCAGCACATTCCTGTTGCTTTTTCTGTAGGATCAGGAGGTGCTGGCTAATGTTTCCTCAATACCACATCCAGATAGTTATTCCCTCCCAACCCGTATTGTAAAAAAAATCCTCCTCTCCTGAGAGGCTTGTGCCATCTGGCTTGTCATCTGACAACTGCTTGGTCATTCTCCATGTATTCAAGATTTTAGCAGTTTGCTTTGTTTTTCTTTCTCAATTCCTGTTCTTTTGCCTACTGATTTCAACATCAATTTGTATGGGTTTTCCAATGTCATCTTCTAGTCTCTTGAATTCCACTCATAAACTTTCTCCTACATTCTTCCTTTCTTCTTTTATCATTAGCAGAAACATTCACCATCTCCAAGTCTGCAAATTCACAAAGTCCATTTTTTTAATCAAACTCTCACTGCCTGCCTGCATATTTTTACCACAATAATTCTTTAATTTCTTTAAGATTTGTAATCCACTGACCAACTCTATCACTTTATGACATTAATATCCACATATCTGTACCTTTTTCCATATATTAGATTCTGTCATCATCATCACTGTATGGAAACAGCTAAAATCCCAAGCCCTTCTCCCTCTAACATATTCATCTGGGAAAACTATTTCTTGATCAGTCCATCATACAACTGAAAGTTTCTGGGGAATATCACTCAATCAGGCAGACTGGTGACAGTATGAATTAATTATAGATAATCCCAAGTGGGTATTTGTCAGGAGCTGCCCTGGATGCAGATGCCTTTAAGTCCTGATGGACGGGGTTCTGAACAATTATTGCGTTCAGTCTGGTGCGATAGTGCCAGGTCTCAGTAACTTGGGTGTTACCCCAGCTTAGATAACAAGGCGTGGCTCCAGGAGTAGGTGTCACCTGCTGGGGTTGAGTTACACTTACCTGTTCCTTTGTAATCCTACACCTTTGCCCTTTTTGGGATAGAATATTCCATGGAACCTCCTCTTGTGTGTCCCCTATATAAGAATAAAGAATTACAGTGGCTCTCTCTATTTTCATGACCCTTAAGGTTGGAGAGCTGTCTCGGATTTTGAAAAGGTACTTCTGTGTGTTTGAGTGCTTTCGTTGTTGTTTTCTTAAGTTATTGGAATAGTCAGATTTTATGAACCCAGCACAAAATTAGGTTGCCAGCTAGGATAGATGGCAATAGGTTCAATATTACTGAGGAATACTTCTAGAATTAAGAGAAAT